ACATGTCCTTACAGATAAACGAGGAAAGGCCGGGTGGTGCTGGAATGAGTCTGTGATGAAGTTAGACTCAAGCAGTCTGCTCCTCACATAATTAATGTGAAATTATTTTTATACATGAATGTTTCTGTTCAGGGGCCTGAGATGACTTCTGTTGTGACTTTGAACTGTTTAAATAAACTCATTGAATTGAAAATGGACCTACTGTCCCAAAACCTTTCATGTTTGAACTTTGCTGTAAATTGATGAAGTTATATTGTTAGTTTTTTTCATCTAAAGTGAAAATTAGATTAAAAAACAAACAAACATGTAAAAATAATTTGGTTACAGGTTGGTGCCCTCCATCCATCCATCCATCCATTTTCTTTACCCGTTTATTCCATTTTGGGTCACGGGGGTCGCTGGTGCCCATGTCCAGCAATCACTGTGCGAGGGGCGGGGTACACCATGGACAGGTCGCAAGTCCATCACAGGGACACATAGAGACAAACGAGACAAACAACCATTCACTCTCTCACTCACACCTAGGGACAATTTAGAGTCACCAGTCAGCCTAACATGCATGTTTTTGGACTGTGGGAGGAAACCGGAGTACCCGGAGAAAACCCACGCATGCACGGAGAGAACATGCAAACTCCACCCAGAAAGGCCCCTGGACCGGGGTTTGAACCAGGGACCTGCTCGCTGAGAGGCAGCAGCTCTACCAGTTGCGCCACCGTGCTGCCAGGTTGGTGCCCTATAATATTCAAAATGTAAAACTTCTGTCGCACAGTTTAGACATTTTGACACTTCATCTTTATAAATATAAATATTTACACTTTTCTTGTCACTGCAGAGCTGATAAAATACCCAGAACAGTCCAGGCGTGCAGACTCTGACTCCATACGACGTGGTCTGAAAAGTTCAGTTCCATCTCGTTAAAATGCTGTCGCTCTGAAGTCTCGCCACAATCTGTCTGCTGCCTCCTCCTTTTGATCTGCTGCTCCTTCCTCTCCGCTGTGCCACCGAGCCAGAGTTTGGCCCTCGTAACGTTTGCGGCGTCCCTCGCCCCAAAGTGGCAGAGGAAACTCAGCTCCTCATTATTTACACAAACAAAGTCCTGCTGTGTTTCTGTGACAAAGCTCGCTCAAGCTTTATGACTCTTTCATGTTTTGTCTGCACACGGTTCTCCTTTGTCCCCGGGCTCTTTGGCCCGGGCGGCGGACACAATGAGCCCGGCAGAATGGAGGCAGATCGAAGGAATGCGCCTCAATAAACCTAATTATGACATGATGACTGTGCTCACCACGGTGGGGCTTGTTCAAAGATCCCGGGCTTATTCAATTAGCCCTTTCCAGGATCCTCTTTCAGCAAAATAAAGTTATCCCTCTGACTGTTTGCATTGCAGAGTGGAATCAGTGTGTGTGTGTGTGTGTGTGTGCGTGTGTGTGTGTGTGTGTGTGTGTGTGTGTGTGTGGACACATATCGGCCTTCGACAAGGCTGCTCTGTATAATTTGGCTAATTTCACCTAAGTGTGGCCTTTAAAGCTCCACTGTGAACATGTGAAGCAGGGGGAGGAAGTGGTCGATGTTCTGAGTCTGTTTTAATCATTAACTTGTGTCTCCGGGGTTAATTATCACGAGTTAAATCCCAGCACAAGACCCGAGGCCAGCTGCAGCCAAACAAATATATCTATATATAAAATGAAGAAGAGAGGAATTGTTTTTAAATAAAATCTTCCTTCACTTGTAAAAAGAAACCAGAGTTAATATATTTGTGAACTTTTAGCACTTTTTTTTTTACATTTCTCTTAATTTAAAGCTACTTGTTGCAAAAATTATGAAAATTTAAAGAGGTTAAAAAAAAATTCTGCACAATGTTTGACTCATATTGATGTTTAACGAGCCCTTACATTAAAACTGTGTGAGCAGATCAACTCCTGCATGTTTGTCTTCCTGAAGTGACTGAAAACAGGTCCACATTGTTTAACCCATGGAACAGATCTGACTGTTTTAGGTTGGGTTGAAACTGTAAACTGGTCCAGACCAAGTTTCCAGAAGTCGTGTGTTTGAGTGCAGAGCTGTGTCACGGCCCGTCTGATCCCTCATGTTTATTCTTGACGATCGTCTCACTCGAACCGTCTCTTTTCATCCAACTAGCATCAGATTCACTCTTGTGTTTCTGCCTGAACATCTTCTCTGAGACAAGCGTGTTCACCCACACGTCAGCCACTTTCATCACGTTAACTCCTGCTTTGTTTACATGCAGTGTGGACCCACGTTTCAGAATCATCATGTGAAAAACTACTGAAGTTCAAACTGCACCGTTTCATTTATAACTCCTATGCATTTGATTTATGTCTCCAGATTTAATTAACTACACGTCAAATTGTGGATTTTTTCTTTTTTTTTTTAATAAAACCAGTCAAAAAATGATTTTCAAAACACATCTTGAGTTTGTTTTTGTCATTTTTATTTGCCTGCTTCAGTCTAAAACGTGACGGAGTTATTAGAGAGCGCAGCTTCCAAACCCAAACTGTGTGACGTGCCCTGGAGCAGCTGCGTGTGAACCCACAGCCAGCAGAGACTGGAGGCCTGCGCCTCCTCTGCGCCTCCTCTGCGCTCCGGAGGATGCAGCTCGGATATGAGACGAGCTGCGCCGCAGGCTGCGGGGGGTGCGGGGGGGGAATGAAAGAGGGATGAAATA